GGGGCCCTCAGGCGTTGAAGGATTGAAGGCCCTCTCGCGCGAGGTTGAGTGTGTCCTTCCTGAGTCTGAGAGTCTCACTCCCTCTTATCTTGCCCTTCTTACTCTAAAGTCTGGTCCTTTGGCCCTGAGAGGAAGGCGGCCGGCGGGCGTGTGGCCCGTAAACTGCGCCAAGGCCTCTGTATGAGGTTGGCCCCACCGATTGCGGGAGCTCTGCCGGGACTCAGGCGGAGTCCTGGAGGCAGGGAACTAAGTGGTAATTCCCTGACTCCTTTTATAAACCCAACTATAACCCCTACCTGTACATCTCTCTATGTTTGACTGGGAGTATTGTGTAGATCTTGTACTTGGTTTCTGAGTTTGATATTCAGTACATAAGTCAAACTGAAATAAAAGAATGTGTGGGCAAATCTCAGTTTCAGTTTGTTGATTGCCTGAAAGCAGACTGCGAATGAGATGGGTGCATCTGGGGGAAGGTTGGGAGGAAGGTAGTATTGTGTGCAGCTTGATTGGGTCATTAAGGCTGGGAGGTCCCCTTGAGTTTGGGGAGGCCTAGCGCTTTGTTTATTTTCTTGGACTGCATGGAGCCTCAGACCGCTCTATAAGCTTAGGTAGCCTGAAGCTCTGGAGGGCTGGGATGTCCCCATAAGTTTGGGGAGACCTAGTGTTGTGAGTTGCATGAAGGGTTAGGACGGTCTATAAGTTTAGGTGTTCTGACTGCTCTGACTTGTAAGGGTTTGACTGTGGGTGACTTTCACGGACCCAAGGCGCTCTATAAGTTTAGGTACCTTGGGTTGCCTCGTTTTATTTGGGGTTTCCTCAGTTTCTTTGGTTTTGAACAAGGAGGTCTGAACCGCTCTATAAGTTTAGGTGGTCCAACCCTTCTCCTATTTTGTTTTGAGGGATTAATTTTGGCAGGGGACAGACCGCTCTATAAGTTTAGGTAGCCTATCCCACTACCTCGCACAGATTGGATCAGAAAGGAATGAACCTGACAGAGGATCGGACCACTCTATAATTTTAGGTAGTCTGGTCCAATGCCTCGCACATGTTGGAACCCAATAGATATAACTTGGCTATATTGTATTACTATGTTATTACGAACAGGCTAGTCAGACCACTTTATAAGTTTAGGTAGCCTGACTATAGCTTATCATAACTTAAGAGAGTAAAACTAAAGAGATATAGTTGAAGGTAAACTTGGGCAGACTGAACAGTGTTCTAAGTTGAGCGGCTCAGCCTTATGTCCCTTTGAAGACTAAGTTCAAGAAAGGTATATATAATTTGACTATTCAAACAGTTCACGGCGACTAGAGTGGTCTAGTCATATGCCCAAAGAAGAGAGAAGTAGTTGTGCTCTCTGTTTCTGTATACTTGGCCGAGTCAGAACGCTCTATAAGTTTAGGTGTTCTGACTTTAGGCCTGGCTAAATTGGGTGCGCTCTATAATTTCAGGTATCCTGACCTATGCCTTACGTAAGCTGGGTATGAGGGGATTACTCACTTAGAGATTATGAACTAGTGTTTGTTTAAAGATTAACTTGGGGATGGTGAGAGTGCTTACCTTTGTGGTTTGGCCTGCATGCGGCTGAGTGAGATTACTACTTGGTCTTGGTTTCAGGTTGACAGGTAGTTGCTATAGAGGCTCGCCACGTGCTAGAACGATAGGAGTTAGGTCAATTCCTGCATTTTCTGAGCTGACTTTATTTTGCTTATATCAATTCTTGGATTTTCTAGGATCTTTTGTTATACTTGGCTTTGTATAAATTTTGGCAAGCTACTTTCTCTATGGGAAGCGCTGCCGAAATTTCTACGAATCCAAGGAGTTAGTTAGCTTTTGACTTGTCAAAGTTCAACTTATTTATTCTTTGTATCTAGCTTAGTAAAAATTTGGAAAGTCTCATTTTCTAAAGGGACTGCTGCCAAAATTTTTGCTAATTCAGGGAGCTAGACAAAATTGGACTATGAGGAGTCAGGGTTATTTTCAGATTCTGAACTTAGCCTTGTATAAATCTTGGAATAACACTTTTCTAAGTGGAGTGCTGCCGAAATTTCTGCAAAACTAAGTTGAACTCAAGGGGAGTAGTCAAATCTTGCCTAAGTTGAACTCAAGTTGTCTTGTGAGTTCATATCTGACCTAGTATAAATCTGGGAAGTCTCCCTTTCTGAAGGAAGTGTTTGTCCAAATTTTTACTAATTCAGGGAGTTAGAAAAAATTTGGCTTCCCAGAGTTGGAGATTATTTTTGTTTTCATATTTTGACTGATATAAACTTTGAAAAGACACTTTTCCTACGGGAAGCGCTGCCGAAATTTTCTTGATTTAGAGGAGTTAGATTATATTTTGACAGGTGACGATTCTGGCGATCCACCCTGAATAGGGGAGATCCACCCAGGGTCTGCCTTTGCTTTGGGTACCGCCTCGAGGTAGATTTAGGCTTAGCTAGCTAGGAGGATTTGAGTGAGAATATATTATGGAGTTGTATTCTCCATAAGCTCATGATCTCAGCTTGGGGATTGACCTGTCATGTGTTACAGGTCGTCTTGATCGTTCGATTCAAAATCAAGACTAGATTCAGCTTGATCCATGGAGGATCGTCTTCTGTTATCATTGATAACAGGCCGGTTGCCGATTCGTCAGTCTTCGACTCAATTTCAATCCATTCCCCATACTTAACCTAAAAGGCTTTATCCCTGGTGGTTTTTACTGTTTGTTAAGGGTTTCACCCGGACTTTTACTGAATGGTCATTTAACAAAGGTATTGAGTATTTAATTGAGGCTGGTTGGACTGGCAGTTGGGGCTTGCATGGCTAAAGCGAAGGGGTATGAGCATAGAGAATRGTTSGGGTTGACTCCGTGTAGTGCGTGTTTTGTTGCTTGATTCTTAGTGTGGTTGCAGGTATGTCCTGTGGCCCAGATTTTGGATTTGGACTGCCTGCGATTCCACATACACATACATGGTTGTGAGGAGTCCCACTKTGCCTGTGAGAAGTGATCGTCATAACTCTATTCCCCTTCMGTATGTATGCGTGGATATACGTATGGWRAGTGTTCGGGAGGCCTAAGAGGCCATGTTAACAACCGCGTGAGAGTGGGGATTGAGAGACAGGGAAGACCCTCCCTTCTGCCTATTTGCGTCTTGGGGCTTTCCTAGTCGGAGGTTGGTCTTGGTCCGGGATTTGAGGTCCTTGTCCAGGACATCCCAAGCCCTAGGCCCTGAAGAGGAGGAGCCTCCCCTTGCATGGAGCCTATTTACTTTGACCGGCGGGACACTCCACCCGAAAGGTGGGAACGTCGCGAGAGCCGAACGGCGTGTCCTTCAACCGTTTAATATCGTGAGGAGTAACCCCTCGCGATGAGTTCCTTCAACCATTCAATATCGCGAGGCCTAAGCCGCAGTTACCACATATGATTGGCATCAGTGGTTAGCATAGGGTTGGCCTGCGGCCGCGCAGTTTATATCAGAGCCCTACGCGCGATGCCTCGCCGCCCCGGCGGCTAAAAGTTATGGGACTGCCGGGCTCGCGCGTAGGCGCAGCGCCTGGGATTATTATAGGCCGCCGGCACCGCCCACAAAAGGGAAGTGTGTCCCAAGGCCATGAGTTTTTGTTTTAAGGGCCATGAGACCTTTGCGCTATCCCTCCCTCCTTGGGTTCGTGCGAGTTTTGTTGCTTCTTAGAGATTTTTATGGTTGGACGTTGTAGTCCGTGGCAGCCGTCAAAGTCAAACCCCTTGACTTTCGCCCAGGCCCCGGGGAGGACTCACCCCTAGGGCCGCGAGAGACGACTACCACCACAGGCGTGGGCCTGTGTACCACCCACTCTGCATAAGGGTGCAGAAGAGGGTGTGTGGTCCTCAACCGCGCATGGAGGTTGTCCAGCGTCGAGAGATTAACCCTCTAGGCGTGTGTCAGCCGACACTTGGGTGTCGAATGCAACCCTCGAGATTAACGAGGACCATGTGAGTATGGGTACTACACAGTACGTCATGACTGCGACCGCTTGCGTACGCTTGCATTGCGAGTCGACATGAGTTAGCCCTGCCTCCGGATGATTTTTATGTCAAGTCTCGCGCGTAGCGCCCATTTGATGTCCGTATCGAAAAGTTATGGGATGGCTATTGAGGGGCTAGGAGCGTTGTCGCGTTGTTTGTGTCGCATTGTTCGTGTGGTGTCGTTTCGTGCGTATGTGTGTGTGTGTGTTTTATTTTGGTGTTCGGAGAGTGGTGTGCGCATGGTGCGTGGGATGGGTCCTTGTCGACCGGCGTCGAGCCGCGCTTGGGACTTCAGCCCCCCCAAGGTGTCGGTTCGCGTGCGGGTCCGATAGGCGTATTACCGCCCGTACCCCCTATGCTACAGCGAACGAGAAACACCCTCGGCTGGCCCACCTCTGCGATTGCAACCGAGTAGCTTTCGTATTGTGGACTGGTCGCTCGACGGGGATACGCCCACCGAAGGGAGGTGACAACTCCCGTAAGGTGGAGGTAAGTTGTGCCTCGCGTAGGCCCTATCCTGTCGTAGGGGCTCGCGAGAGGTATGGCTGGCGCACTCGGCCGGAGCGGCCTAAGGAAGCTCCTTTTGTGCGTTCGTAACGAGGTTGGTCCAACTCCTGCGTGACGCGCCCGAGAGGGTCCCGCACTGCCGCGTGCGGCGCCGGACCGATGCGCTCGACAGGTGGCGCCGTTGCCGGGGATAACGAAAGCCTAACAGGCTATCCCTGGTGGAACGACATCCGGGTATGAGAGTAAGCGAGAAACTAGGCATATGAGTGAATAAGAGAAGGACTATGAAATGTATGTAAGGTGATCTAAGTGACTATGGGTTTGATAATTGATTGATTGGCGACTTGGTTGACAACTTGAATGAAGTAAGTGTGTGGGGAAGTCCTATGGGGAGGTTAGGCGTTATCTAGGTGAGCCCAAAGGAAGTAGGAGAAAGAATGCCTGCCAGGTCTAGAGTGTGGGGTGTCTAAGTTGGTCAACCCGATAGGGTCATGAAAGGTTGAGTCGCTTAGTGGGGTCCTCTGTCCCATCGTCTCTTATAACAGGAAGTTTGAAGCCAGAGGTGATTGGTCAAAATGCCAGAGGAGATGGCAGATGGTGGGAGAAAGCTCGTGACTCTCGACGACCTTATCGATGCCCTGGAGAAGCGCGAGAGGGCGCCAAGTAATGTCCCTAAGGTCGAGACATTTCACTTCAAAGGGGATCGGGTATCTGATTGGTTGGATCTGACAGAGNTGGAGAAGCGCGAGAGGGCGCCAAGTAATGTCCCTAAGGTCGAGACATTTCACTTCAAAGGGGATCGGGTATCTGATTGGTTGGATCTGACAGAGCAGGCGCTGGTGGGACTGTCAGATGGGGTCAAGCTCCAGCGGGYCCTGAGGTATGTCTTGCACAGTCACCATCGCGAAATAACTAAGGTTGTGGACGCCGCCAGTGGCAGTTGGGCAAAGTTTGGAGACCTAATGCGAAGTAAGTATAGGCTGGGGGACGGTCTGTTGACCACGGCCGACTTGGAGGCCATGAACAAGGAAGACTTCTCTACCATTGGGGCGTTTGTGCACGAGTTCAAGAAAGGGGCGAGGAAAGTGCACGGGATTTCTGAGGAGGCGCAGTGCGCCACATTTTTGGGGCTGCTTTCAGGCTCGGAGGCCACAGAGCTAACGAAGTATGGGGAAGGAAGCGAGAGGCTCATCTGGGCAACCGTTGACAAGGGAGTGGAAAAAGGGAGCCTGGACCAGGTGGAGCAGCACCAAATGAGGCTGCAAAGGCGCAAGAGGAAGGAGAGGGATGCTACTGTAGCCGGGTTCCCAGGGGTGAAGAAAATAGTTACGGATGTGTTGGCGGCACTGGGGTATGATAGCGAAGCAGAACTACAGAAAAGAGTGGTGGCAGTGGCCCAAGGCCGGGCGTCAGGAGTAGGAGATGAGGAGGCAGGGCGCAAAGACTACGGCGGAGGGGAGACGGACTCCCAAGCCCTGACTAAGGCCCAGAGGAAGCAGCGTAATCTGCTACTGGGGGGACAGGGATCAGGGAAAGGGCAGGCTTCCCAAGCCCTTGCTGCACCACCACCTGTCACCACGGCCGCCCCATCGCCCGCGCCAGCCGGAGCATCGCACATGGGGCCGCCGCCATCTTGTGGACACTGGGTGCCGCATTGCCAATCCACGCCCTGGCCCAGTTGTAGCCACTGCGTCTCGTGTGGAGGGAGTCAGGCCCACGCGGGGCACATGGTCCCCTATTCAGGCCCATCCGCAAGTATGGCCCCCCCGAGCTACCCGGCGATTCAAAGCCAGCCCGTGACTCAATCACCGCCCTCCCGCAGGCCTCGCAAGCTAGTGTGGCCGGGGGAGGAGGCCAAGGACCAGGCGGGCATGACAATGGGGGCCGGGGCCAAGGAGGTAGAGGAGGGGGCGGTCGGGGGCAAGGAGGAAATGGTGGAGGCCGTGGAGGAGGTTGGAATGGTCAAGGGGGTTAGAACCAAGGCGGCCAAGGCAGCCAGGGAGGGGGCCAAGGGTACGGGAGACCCCGCTTCGACTGGCGGAACGCAACTTGTTGGCATTGTGGCGAGGTGGGCCACACCGTACGATTCTGCCAACAGCGGCGGGACGACGAAAGGCAGGATTAATCTCCAACTGTATGGACGGGGATATATACGACCGGTGGGGAACGCATATTGATCCCAAGACCTCGGGAGGAATCAGGCAGGAAGCCCTTAGGCGGGCAGCGGCCGGGCCTCCAGCAGCCCCAACAATGTTTAGGATATGGCAGGAAAGGCAAGACCCCGGCGTAAGAGTCGAGGAGATTGTGGATGAAAATGAGGAAGTAACTCAGCGGTTGAAGGTGGGGACTATAAAGGAGGAGCCCATAGTTGTTGTAACTAACCGGTCTCATATATCACACAACTGAGTTCTACCCCTGGGCCGTAGCCCACGAAGAAACTCAAGAGGGAACAAGCGGACAAAAGTCACACGCATATGTACAATCGAATAGAAACTCATCCCACCACTCCTACGCACACACACATCTAGGGTCCGCTCGACTGACTCAAAATATATACACCCCTAACCCCGCCCTGTGCGTGTCAAGGATCTCTAGTCCCACCAATATATAGACAGACCGGTCCCTACTTACACAATTCCTCCTGGTTCTGCCTAATAGTGCCTATACAACTGAGCTCTGCCCCCATCTGAAGCTCGCTCCACTATCCTACCCTGTCTGTCATAGAACTTGCCATTGAACTCTACAACTCGCCCCTCGGCCTTATCCTCGAGGAGCTCTGGGCAGTCCACGGCTCTATGCCCTTCCTCCTTGTACCAGAAACAGGAGGTATCGTGCCATCTGGCAGCCTTCTTCTTTCTCCCCTGCGAACTCGATGTCGACGGCGTCCCCATGCTCCCAGTAGTCACCTCGTGACATGAGGACGATCCTATATGGCCCTGAGGTCCGGGCTCCACAGCCTCAGCACCTTCACCCCTTCGTGCGGCTGTGCCCCCTGACCTATCGTCTGACATATCCAACTCTCGGGGTCCCTCCTTATGAGCCCTCTCTGTCACACCCATTATCTCATCCCCACATAATCCAGACAGCTGAGAGCTCACCACGATGGTGGGCTCACTCATGACCTCCTGCTGCTGCTGCTGTCGCGAGTCAAGCCCTCCTTAGTCCGTCTCCGTGGCCCAGGAGCCCAGCTCCGCCCTCAACTCTCCCAACCTTGGGGCCTGCTCAGGAGCATCGAGTCTCTAAGGCCTCTCTTGTGGAGTGCGTATCCCCATGGTTGTCGCCAGCTCATGCAAGCGCGAACCTCTCCTCTCCGTGGACATAGCCATAAGTGACTCCTGCGCGCCACTCTCCTCCTCGACTGCGTCCAAGGGCGCCTCCTCCATCGGCTCGGCCTGACGAGGGACCTCCACTGCTACTTCCTGATTCGGCAGCGCCTGCACCCCACAGCCCTGGCTATCAGGTGTCATCTGGCTAGCCTCCCAGGCTGCTAAGAGCCTATCCATAGCGGCCGCCATCTCCGCAAATCTCCTCTCCCACTCAACCTCTCTGGTCTGGCTCCTCGCCCTCTCCTCGGCAAGCAGAGTAGTCAGGTGTTCTACCTCCAACTCCTTAACCCTGAGCTCATTGCTGAGTAGATTATACCACTGGAAAGATGTGACTGCCGTCTCGCATACCCTCCGATCCATGCGCTCAATCGCCTGCCTGGTCGCGGAGAATCCCAAGTCCCCCATTTCTCTCAGCTCACTCGTCTCCTCGTCCGCCCGTCCTGCCTCTCGTGACCTCTGGCGGGCTGCATCCCTCTGGCTCTCATACCTAGCCCACAACTCGTCGATCCTCTGCTCACTCGTCTTGGGCACGATCGGCGGTGTCGGCTCTATCCCTGACGTCTCCATCTCAGCCTGTCTTGCGTATATCTCGTCCAGACGGACCCGCACTCGGGCGGACTTTTCTTCGCGGGTCTCTCTTGGGGTTCCTTCCACTCGCGGCCCCTGGTCTCCCGGAGTTGAAGCCTCCACCTCTGCCCCTTCGCTCGCGCGCGGCACTACTGGCGGTAACTCTGCTGAAACGGGTTCCTCGATATCCGGGCACTTGGTCACCTGCGTGGCCGAGGGCAAGTCAAGGGGCGCCTCCATCCTCGCTCTCTCACACACACCCTGGTCCTCCGCCTTTGCCTCCTGCTCAGGTATGGTGGTGGCCTCAGGGGGAAACTCCAGAATCTCCTCACTGCTTGGCTTGGGAATCCCCTCTCGCCATGAATGTTGTGCTGGCTCTAGAGCTGGGGAGCATGGAGGGGTATCGTCCCCAACCGTGATCACCTCTCTACCCTGAGGTCGCATCGGATCCGGCCGCTCGGCTGCCATCTCAGGATCTTGACGCTCCTCTCGGTCCCGCATGTCTGTCTCCATCTCGGGGTCAAGGGGCTCCTCCAACGGTACGTAGCATGTTGGCTCAACTGAGCCCTCTCCCAGCCGTGAGGCCTCCGATTGGGATACATCGAGATGAGTCGCTAGGCTTCGAAATGGCATCTCTCTTAGTATGTCCAGCTCCTGCGTTGATGGCAGTAGCGAGGGCGGCCTCAACTCCTCACTCGTAATCCGCCGAAACTCAACCGCTCGGAGGCCACAAGCAGGGAACGACTCCTCTCCCAATGCGGGCCCTGCGGGCTCATCCTCCCGCTGGGTTGGGGCTCCCCTCCTTTCTCTGGCCAGCCCCGCCTCTCTCGGTGCCGGTTCCCTTGGCCTCTTGCTTCGTCGTCGCCTCTCAACTCTGGGCTCGTGCCTCTCGTGTTGTGGCTGTCCGAACGCCCTCCTGAGCTGGGTCTGACAGTCCTCCCAGTCTCGAGCCCTTTCCCGAATCTGCTTGGCCACCTGCCTCTCTGCTTACCTCGTCCAGATAAGTAGGGCCTGTACCCATTCCTCCTGCGCAACCCCCAGACTCAACATGTAGTGCTCATATGAGGGGATGAACTCATCTGCATTCCCCTCCTCCAAATGAATGGGCATGCCATCACACCCCCTAGGGGAAGCTCTCAACCTCTGCATCAAAGCGACAGGTTGGGAACCCAAAGAGGATCGTATGTGGGAGCAACCGGCAGATCGATGTTATAGCGGCGTTACACGATGGTATAGCATGGGGGCACAAAGGGGTTAGTGCCACGTGCACAAAGACAAGTGAGATTTCCCAGTAGGGGAGGACAGGGGCTAGGTATTTTGTGGATGATTAGGCGGATGCTATGTTCCCGAGTGTATTTGATGAGTGTACAGTGGGGTTATGAGTCCTACTCAGACAGGCGGGGTATTGAGTTGAGTGCTTGTATTCGATTGTTGGGGGAGGCATTCTACTCCCTGAGTGTACTATGAGTTGAGATCCTATGGGACTTGTCTTGTGACGATCACTATCGCTCTCACATGTGTGGATTTACGTCGATGAATGTTTGGCGTTGTGTGAGAGATGTACAAGATACATCTCATGGGTTTGATTGTGTAAATTGTAAAGCTGTCTACCCTCCGGTATACTCGTGCGGTCTGCTGCAAGAGGATGAGAGGGCAGAGTATAAGGAGGGGAAGCGCAGCCTGTTTGTGAAAACTGTGAGAATCCTACGGGATTGATGGATTTAGGAATTTGCATGGGTGGTCATACTAAACATCGTTGCCCAAATCGTATAGCGACCCAAAAGGTGGCTCCTCAGTTTGAGTTGTCTGGTGATTAAGACCCCCTTCATGGTTCTGGAAGGTGGGAATTACATTGTATGGAGACCCCTTCATGGTTTTGGAAGAGGTCGTGTAAGGGGTCATCCCATGCAGGAAGGGGATGGCCAGGGAATCTTCTATGAAAGGCACCGTTCACCAAGTAAGGGTGGCTAAAAATTGAATGGTGTGGAAAGCATTGTCTGTGTTGGTAAAGTCTGACGAGAAGGAACCATGTTTGCTTGAAGTGTTTGAAAAGGGCGAGAGATGCCTCAGGGTGGGCGACTGCTAGCTCTGATCAAGTCAGGGGCCGCGGCCTCGTGGATCCGGCGGGGAGATTGTTTGTGATTGAGCGAAAAGTGCCATGCTTATTACGGAAGAGCCGGTAAATGCCTTCAGGTCCCTGCATAGTCCCGCAGTGGCCTGTGAATTGTTCGTGATGCCCCGCCGGGCCACCTGTGCTAATTCTGAGACATATCTAAGGGAATACCAAGCTAACGGTAAAGTTTAGTGCCACCTGGGCGCAACCCCTAGGGGATGGCTGCTAGCCGGCACAACCTGGCTGCGGGCCCGCAAGGTAAGAGTTTGAGGGGAGTTGCCTGCCCCGGGGAAATTACCTTGCGGAATAAGAGTCGAGTCGTTTGGAAGCCCTGATTGATTGATTATCAGGGATATGTCTGCCATTGTATAACCAATGGGAGGATACTGCCGCTAAGATAACAATGCGGCGGGTCGTAGACCTGGCCCGATCAACTAGGCTATTGTGGGCCGAGATGGAGACCTGGAATTTCTGTACTAAACTGCAGAAAGGGCCGAGAGAGGCTATAAGTTATATATATGCATTTTGCTTGATGGTGAGAAAATTGCTGAAAGAAGGCAAGAATGCCGTCACAAGTCTCATTCAAAGCCCGCGTCCCTAGTTATGGCTCTGTCTACGAGAAAGAGGTTAACTGGGACACCTAACGAGAAGCCGACGGTTGTCTAGGACGGAGGGGAAGAGGTTGGTTTGGGGGCCTTTGGAACTTATGCTGTAGTATTGATGCGAAATACGCCGGCGTCCTGGTGTCGGGGCAATGGAGACCCAGGTTGAAACCCTGGCAGCATATAGTTGTGTTGGCACGGTTTGATGGAGGCCTCGACCCTGAGTATGTCGGCTAATCGGATTGGTTCTAATCTCGTCAGCATTTGGAATGTAAGGGAGTCTATAGCTTTTTTATCTGGCGACGCGATGGGGACGTCGCTTAATATGGTCCGGTAAGCGGTCGGCGCGAGTACCCTTACAAGGGTATCCGCCCTGGTTTTTGCAAGTGACAGAAAGGCTTGGTTAACCTGGACCTTGAGTGCCCGTGTGAAAAAATGTGAGGGTCGTCCGCACGTAGGCAAGGGTCTGCCTTGTCCCGGTAGGGGGTACGTGGGCGCACAATTTTAAGGCGCGCGTGTGATTTTTCTGGTTGAGTGGGCGGACGGGGTAGCCGGCCGACCCATACTAAAGCCACGAGATTGATTAGGGGGTGAAGGTTCGTTTTTTTGGTCGGCGCACGCGACCGATGGTAGGATTGGCGTGCCGGTAGGCGCACGGGACGGCCACGGTGCGGGGCGGTGGCCCGGCGTGGACGCTTAGGGGCCGTGGGTACGAATGTGGGTCGAAAGAGTGGCCGGAGCGGTATCCTGGCCCGGAGCGCCGTGTGGTACCACCTTGTATGTGAAGCTGCGCCTGCTGGTCTTAGGCTTGGGCTTAGCCCTATTGGTTACAGTATTTGACTGGTATGCAGTGGACGTAGGGATCGAGGCCAACAACATGCAGAAGGAGCAGAGGAGCGCGGCGGTAAGGCTTGAGGGGTTGATGGGCCGATAGGACTATCCCCTTCGCCTTTTTTCTCATTGTTATAAGGGTCGAGACCCCTGCCCGAGTGCTGCGCACCTTGCGGGGTCGTGTGCACCCGCCTAGGTATAAACTTATTTGTGCCGAGCTTTTGGACTATTACTCATCGCGGCCGTATGGGAAGGAGGCGTAACCGCTCGAATCCGGCCCCGAAAGGGGGCCAGATCCGTGCTTAGCAGTCGAGGGGCAGAGTAGCACGAAGGCTACTTAAGTCGCAGAGGGGTCGTGAGACGCTGGGGTAGCGAAGCTCCTCTGGGGCATTCGGTAGATCTGGGATGATGTGGGGGAGGGTTTTTGCTTGGTCGCGGCGTGGGTTCGGAATGAACCCGGACGCGGGTCGCGCCGGGTGCGCACAAAAGAAAGGGGGCAGAGGGTTGGTCGGATCGTTTTGCGGCTGGGTCCGCTCGACGGTTGGCCGTTGCGATGGCCAAGCGGCGCCAGCCGGCCCCAAGCCCTTCGGGGCGTTCGTTAAAATTGGGATGATACAGAGAAGACTAGCATGGTCTTTGCTCAACAAGGGACACCCATAAACGGGAATGAACCCGACCGAGAAACGGGCCGGGTATACGCAAAACGGTGATCTGCAGGGGTTAAGTCGTGCAGGACTGGCTAACTTGTTGACGCGGCTACAGGGGAGATCGGGGGAAACAACGCCGGGGAGATTTGCCTAGCCCCTATGCAAAGATTCTCATGCATAAGCCCCGAAGGAGGGGCCAGGTTCACGCGGAAAGAGTGGGGCGAGTGGGCTTTGACCGTGGCAGATCTCCTTGGGAGGAAATCTGAGTAAGGCGGAGGAGATCTGCGTGAACCCGGACGTAGGGGAGGCCGAGTGACTTTTAGGGTCGCCGTGGGGCATAGCCCCGACCGCAGTCCTTCGGGACATCCGTTAAGGTTGGAACGATACGGAGGAGACAAGCGTGGCCTCGACGTCGGGGGCGGATCGTATAAACGGGAGGAGGCCGTCGGCCGGACGGGTTGTTCGGCATTTAGCAGACTATCGGACTGCGCGGCTTGGCGGGGCCGGTGGTGACGTCACCATCAGACGAGCACCGCGGGCAGAGCGCTACGGCGGGGCGGATAGGACAACGAAGGTAAGAAGGAGAAAGGGCGATTGAACCGGGACGGTTGGTCACGTTGGGGGCATTCGGAGCTGCGACGGGCTAAGCGAGCAGGCGCTGAAGGGGGCGGCTGAACCCGGGCGCGATTTCGTGCCGGGTGCATGAAGGCAGAAATGGAGATGGTGCAGGCGGGGAGTAGGACTGGGCACAGTGGGGAAGAGATGGCTCGCTCGTTCCTCGACGGAATCGAGCGAGGGAAGATGCAATTTTGAGGTTTGTTTGCGGGCGAGCATGTTCGTGACGTTAGATTTACTGTTAGAGGTAAGGAATTAGAGTTGCCTGAAAGTTAGTGCGCGGTGATATCGAGGGGCGTGGATATGGCAGGAGGAGGAGCTCGTTATCTCGCCCGACTCCCTATGAAATCGGGTGAAGTAAAGTGTTGAACAAAGGTTTTCATACCGGGCGAATTTAGTGGTAGCTCTAGTTTTGGCAATAGGTTAGTAAGGTAAGAGTTAGTAGGGAAGTAGACTGCGCGAGTTGTGGCGGATGGAAGAATGTCGGGAAGGAGGGTGAAGCTCCCGTGCGCTTCGCCATGAGATTGGGAAGAGGAGGTGGTAACCGGGGGTTTTCGGGGCGGGTGACCCCGAATCCGTAGTTAGATTTTGTAGAAAGTTAGTAGAAAAAGTCTTAGCTAAAGAAGGTGTTGTGCGGGGGGACGGTGTGGTTCGGCGACGTTCATGCACCTGGCCGACCTCTAGCGGAAGGTCCCTTTCGATTTTGCCTTCCCGATTTCAGCAGCCATAGGGAGGAGCCAGTCGTGAGTCGGGGCTCATCTCCGAGTAAGGTAGAGAGGAAGAACGGGGGTCTGCCTGGTGGTGGCTGAACGAACAAGCTTGTGGTGTATTACGAACGGGGGAACGGGCTGGGGCAAAACTTAAGGCCGTACCT